TCACCTTCATCACCCCCATCACCCTCCATCACCCTCATCACCCCCATTACCCCATTACCCCAGCACCCCAACACCCCAGCACCCCAGTACTTCATCAAAAGGGACCTTATTTTGCAATCCCGGTTTCCACAGTGTCCTCAAGATGAGAGCTTAGTCTAGGGAAGATAAATCATGTTCAACCGAGCAGAGTAGTGAAGGGAACGCTTCATCACTCCATTAAAACAGACCTGATTATACCATCCACATTTCCAGTGTCCTTAAACCACCAGTACTTTGGACCCTTGCTTGGTCCTGTGCAGGCCTCTGAACGCATTTGAATTTAGCTGGCACGTTAACGGATGCATGCAGGCCCTTACTTCCGTTGAAAGGCAGGCGTGTTAATGGGCACACCTCGCTCGAGTTGTGGTGTGCTTTAAGATAACAACTCGATCTGAGATAGATAAGCCATGTTCAGTAGAGCAGGGTAATGAGAGCAGCACCTCCCCATCACCCCGTCACCCAATCGCTTGCATCACTCCATCACTTCTCCATTACTTCTCCATCACTTCTCCATCACGTCTCGATCACTTCTCCATCACTCCATCACTCCATCACTCCATCACTCCATCACTTCTCCATCACTTCTCCATCACTTCTCCATCACTCCATCTCTGCATCACTTCATCTCTCCATCACTCCATTTAAACGTGAGTAATGTAAATGTCGCTTCCTTCTTGTACGCACTTCCCCCACCACCCCGAAACCCCGACCCCCCCACTTGGCACTGAGCCGCACAAACGTGGCCAACCTTGCATTTTTTATTTTTATTTTTAAATAAATTGGACCATTTCTCGATTTATGTGTGTCATTCTTGCGTAGGGGCCATGCCAATCTTCTCTGTATCATTCCAATTTTAACGGATGTCCCGAAGGAAACCAACCTTGCATGTTCTACTATACTGTTTCTCTATTTATTTATTTTTTTAATGGATGCTTGGTGATGATTCTTGGATGGGATGAGAGAGAGAATTTGGGTTTTTTAAAACACACACACAGCTGCTTCTCCCTTCCTCTGACGAAGTGGACTTCGATCCGTGCATGTGTCGCAGGCGATTGTGAGGATCAACTATGGGCAGAGCTTAACGATAAGTGGATTGGCGGGAGCGATTGGTCTGTGTGGAAGTGGTGCTGACCTGTGGGCAGTAGATGGGGGCAACCGACAAGTTCCAGAGGGGTTACTCCGTAAAGCTGGAGCGATAGTTCATCTGGGGGAGGGTGTTGAAATCGTTCGTAGAGTGGAAGGGGGGAAGTATGATGTCATTACCAGACATGGAGACAGTGAACAATTTGACGTCGTTGTGATTGCCACACCGTTGGATGAAGGAGCGTTGCAGTTGGAGCCACCAATCGCCCTACCAGCTAGGAAACTGCAACACACACACACAACATTTGTCGTCGGCTGTGTGGACCATGTGAGTGCGAAAGTGTACTTCTCTCTCCCTTCACAAATCTTGTTTGTGGTACAATCCGTTTTTCCTCCTCCCAAGATCCATTTTTTACCTCCGCTCCACCTCCACCTCCTCTTCTTGACCCCCTCTTCCTTACCCCCTTCTCTTGACCCTCTCTTCTTGACCCCGTCTTCTTGACGCCCTCTTCTTGACTCCCTCTTCCTCACCCCCCTTCTCTTGACCAGCTCTTGACTCCCTCTTCTTCACCCCCTCTTTGTGAGAGAGAAAGGATGGCCCGTATCTGTGTGTGTGTGTGTGTGTGTGTGTGTGTGTGTGTGTGTGTGTGTGTGTGTGTGTGTGTTTGTGTGTGTGTGCGGGGGGGATAAAAACTTTTCCAAAACAACGCATCGCAAGGTAAAAAAAAAAAAAAAAAGCGGCAGACCACGATGAACGAACCAACACCTCATGGCAAGAGCTCAGCCTGATGGTTGAAAAGGAAAGATTGAATCGAGAGGAAAGGTCGACAAACAGCTGTAAGGCAAAGCGGAGGAGGCAGCAGCAACAAGGGACAAAGGCTGGAGGGCATGGGGGGGGGTTGGAGGGCAGACAAACAGCACATGGTAGCGAAGGGAATACTGGCAAACGAAAGAAACACAGCAAGGACAAAAATCTGCAGACCAAAAAAACAAGTATCAAAGCAAACAAAGACCGAAAAAATAAAACCAATGATAGATTGTTTCGTCGAAGTTGCACCGACTCGTCAGGACGCTGAACCCTCGACAATCTGCAGAATCTCTGTATTAATGGTTTGTGTCATGAACCCTTTTGACCCTTGATGAAGGCAGACTGTCCATAAGCGGGACACAGCAGCCAGCAACAACTTAGCGAAGCACCAGGCAATGCTGCCGGAGAAACCCAACTGCATAACGCAAAAACAACTGCAAGGAATGGTAGGGCAAGCGGACGGGCAGCACAGCAACAGTGTAGCGAAGCACAAGGCAGCACACACTACACGGCACACAAGGCAACACCAATGCAGCCGCCACACTACCCGGCACACAAGGCAACACCAACGCAGCCGCCACACTACTCGGCACACAAGGCAACACCAACGCAGCAGCCACACTACATGGCACACAAGGCAACACCGACGCAGCAGCCACACTACACGGCACACAAGGCAGCACCAGCGCAGCAGCCACGCTACTCGGCACACAAGGCAACACNGGCACACAAGGCAACACCGACGCAGCAGCCACACTACACGGCACACAAGGCAGCACCAGCGCAGCAGCCACGCTACTCGGCACACAAGGCAACACCGACGCAGCAGCCACACTACACGGCACACAAGGCAACACCAACACAGCAGCCACACTACACGATACACAAGCAAGGAATTCTTGAAGGGGTGGCAAGTGGATGGGCAGCAAGGCAGCAGTGAAGCGAAGCACAGGGGGACACTAACACCGCAGCCACACCACACAGTGAACACAGCAGCTTGCAAAGCACGACATGTGATGCAAATGGGACGGGTAGCAAGGCAGCGACAGAGTGCAGACAAGGCAGTCTACACATCCAACACCGAGCAAAGCGGCACGTCACCTATTCACATCACGAGTGGACCCCGCAGTCTGTTGGTCCCACCACCTGCTGAGCCAGTGAGGTGCTCCAACGGACGTCTATCATCACCCATAGACCATATGCACCACGGACATCACAGCCAGAGCGACCCCCCTAAGAGTCCTGCGGTCACTCTAAACCAGCGACCATCGACTATTTAGCACTCCTTAAAGTTGCTCACCTAGACTCACAGAAGTACTTAGTAAAGAAAAGAAAGAGGAAGTACATGCAAAAATAAAACTGATTTCGTTTGTGTGTGTGTGTGTGTGTGTGTGTGTGTGTGTGTGTGTGTGTGTGTGTGTGTGTGTGTGATATATATCCTCTTCTCCCTCTCTGCCTACGGTTTACCGGGCAGTTCTATTTGACGATATATATCGTCACAAACAGAACTGCCCGGTAAACCGTAGGCAGAGAGAGAGAAGAGGACAACAAACGAGGGGCTGTGGCAAACTGTTTCGTAATATAT